ACGCCTGCTTAAATATTAAGGCACTGGACTAAGAATGTGGCACGACATTAAACTTAGAACTACTGCTCAATATAACAAAAATTTATTAAATACATTCTTTTCGTAGTGCAGCATTTAAATTCGCTATTTTCTGGGCATTTCGAAAAGTATGCTATTTGATACAACAAATGTCTGCAAAATCATTAAAGTTCATTTCGTCTTATCAGTTGTAAAGGAAAAAGTCGTCTTGCCTCAGTCATTTAAGGAGTCCGAGGAACCAATTATACAAATTTTACGTAAACTCTGGCTGCTCACCATCTTCATACCAGTCGGTGTAGTAGTGCATTACGAAATGAACTTCGAAATCTTGAGTAAGATCGTGGATACTCGATTATCATTTTAGATGAGTATAATTAACGTGAGGGACAGTTGTTGTTTATAATTATTTTGTTTGAAGGAAATCAACGATAAAACTGAGGATTCGGTGAAATCCAAAAATCTCTTATTAACGCTTGGTGTGAGTTAAAAAGTAAGAAAGTTTTACAGTGATGACTTTCTAGTCTTCTCGCTCAATAACCATAATAGAAAGATTAAAGCTTATGCAGCATTAAATACTTCTAATTCTCTCAAATATGGATAGGAACCTTCGATGTAATGCTTGAACACGTAAGTTAACGTATACACTGTTTTAGAGATGGTGAACATTGGGAATTGTATTCCCCAAACATTGAGGAAGTTCTGCAAAATTCCTTGCTTTCTATTGACACACATATGGGTCATTACATGGTTTACCGTAGCTTTTACCATATCTCTGCATTCTCATTAAACTTCAGGTTACATTCTGGAAGGAGGGCAAGAGATCTCAAAGACATGCCGCCTATCCCCAAGATAGCAATTAAAGGCGCAAACCATTCCGAATGGATCTGGCAGCTTCACAAGCTGGCTTATGTTAGGTATCGCAATCACGACAGATGAACGCCTGAGTCCGCGAGTTGAAGTAATCAAAAATTGAGAAAAGAAAAATGGAAAGCTGGGCCAAATATGCTTCTGATTTCTACAATCAAAAGGACTTTATCTTGCTCTTTTGTATGCCATTCCAGGTTGTTAGCGAAACACTTTGATTATAGACATGGGAACATAATTCTCAATAACCGCATTTGCTGAATGCGTTTAAAACCAAACATTAGCAGGTGTCAGAAATGGTTTCCTGTTGACCTGACATTCCATTTCGCAGCTCATAAGTCAAAGAAACCAAAATTCGTGGAGAAGCAACGACTGTAGTTTTTTAAAGCAGGAAAGGAGTTCCCGAGTTTATAGCATTTGTTCGAATTTAGGAAAGAGCTTGAATAAGTAAAAAAACACGGAAAATTATGTAACAACCTGATATGTAGCGTA